TTTAGAAAGGACAGCCCTACTTTTGCTCAATAAAACGGATGAAATTATACTTAATAAGTAAAAAAATCTCCTTAAATGGTTGATCAAAATACGTCAAAAATCTTAAAATGCTCAGTAAATATTTAAAGTACGCTCCCTATAATAGAGAAAACTGTACATTAAGCATTTGAAAATGCTCCTTAGTATGCACCGCTCTGTACAATTTTGAAGTGTAATTATACCATATATCATCGGAAAAGCTGCTGTAGAAAGGTTAATAAGTACCATGAAATCAGCTGAAATGTTCAGTAAAAATGCACAAATGCACACAATGATTTACTGAACATTTCAGCTGATTTCATGGTACTTATTAACCTTTCTACAGCAGCTTTTTCGATGATATATTTATTTATTTATTTATTTATATTTATTTGTAATTCATCTGACATATGTGGTCTTAATGAATATGAGAAAACATTTTCAAAACAACTACAAAATTGACAACCTAGTAATTCTATTTTTAAAACGACCAGAAGTTTCGCCGAACTCAAAGAGATCCTCCACCACCGAAAAAGCTCGAATCATCGACGATATTGGTTCATTATATCCAAACAAAGTACGGTGAAATCTGTCCTGTAGTAATGACCGCTGCCGAAGAGAACGTTGAGCAGCAAGGAAGTCCAACATAGAAAGTATCCGGGGGAGAATCGACTTCACCATTTAGCAACTTCGCCACGAATGTCGCCTGTTGTAATCTTCGCCTTCTTTCAAGGGTGTCCATGCCCAACAGTCTACATCGATCGGGATAGGCAGGGAGGTTCAACGGATCGCGCCAAGGTAGATGACGCAGTGCTAGCCGGATGAATCGTCGCTGGACACGTTCAATCCTTAACGTCCAGGAAACATCATTTGGAGTCCAAACAACAGAAGTGGTTTCGAGAATTGGCCGTACCTCATTTAAGTGAAGTACCCTTGATGTGATGATCGAACAATATTGGTTGTTTAGAACGATGAAAGGTCATAACAGAGCACTTCGGTACGCTAATAATTAACTTGTTCCGAAAGCACTAGTCAGAAAATAGGTCTAAAAGTTGTTGCAAATGGTGGCAATCTTCAGTTGAGCGATTAACTAAATATATTTTCAGGGCATCGGCGTAGATGATCACGCATTCCAAGCCTAATTTCGAAGCTACGTCGTTGAAAAACAGTGTGAACAATAATGGTCCCAAGTTGCTTCCTTGGGGAACATCGGATGTATTGCAGAAGGTCGAAGAAACACAGGAGTCAAATTTAACGCGGAGTTTCCTTCCCGTTAGGTAAGAGTTCAGCCAAGACACTAGCTTAGAGCATGATCCGAGACGTGACAGTTAAGCCAACAGCACATAGTGATCGATCTTGTCGAAAGCCGCCTTCAGGTCAGTATGGATGACATCAACTTGAGCCTTGCTTTCCATAGCAGTTATGCAAGTGTTGGTGAAGCTTAGTAGATTCGTCGTGAGCGATCTTCCAGGCATATAACCGTGTTGAACGGTAGAAATATAGCTGTGCGACTGGCGTAGAATCATATAGCTGACAATTATTTCAAACAGCTTTGACGCAGCTGATAAGCTCGTTATTCCTCTGTAGTTCCTGACGTTTTTCTTGTCACCATTTTTGAAGATGGGAAACATAAATGACTGCTTCCATACCTCAGGAAAAACCCCTTCATCGAGCGACCGGGTGAAAATTACAGACAGTGGCTCAGCTAAGTCAACAGCACAGCGGCAAAACAAAATCGATGGTATACCGCCGGGACCAGCAGAAAGCGAACTTTTCAACTTTTTGGCAGCAGATATGATCATTGCAGGAGTAACTACGAATGTCGACAGACTAATAAAGTCCATGGGAATGTCAAAAGCAGCAGACTCAGCTTCGATTTCAGAGGCAGGAGTTTGGTCAAACACAGAAGCAAAAAATCTGGCAAACAGTTCGCAGCTTTCAGAAGAAGATTTCGCTTCGACGTCGTCAAAAATCACGTTGCTCGGTACAGATGAACTTTTCCGCTTACTATTGACGAACTTCCAAAAGCTTTTTGGATTTCTCCGAAGATTAGTCTGCACTCTCATGACATGAGCCTTGTACAAAGCTGAATTCAAATTGCGATACAATTATATGGTACAATTACACTTCAAAATGGTGCAAAGTGGTGCATACTAAGGAGCATTTTCAAATGCTTACTGTACAGTTTTCTCTATTTTAGGGAGCGTACTTTAAATATTTACTGAGCATTTTAAGATTTTTAACGTATTTTGATCAATCAGTTAAGGAGCAACCCGATCTATTTCAAGGAGATTTTTTTTTACTTATTAAGGAACATCGTCATTGTATAATTATTCATTTACCTTTTCACCTTTAGAAAGTGCACTATAAAGTGATGCATTACCTCGTTTAAAAACTATTGTCTAGCAAAAAAAAAGCACAATAAACAAACAAAACAAATCCCTTAAAAACAGTCTAAGCTTCTGCGATTTTTTTCTACGGATCCGTATTTCTGCAGACCTCAATCAATTCTATAAATCTACGGAAAATTTCGTAGAACCGACATCACTGACTTCCATCTGTTTTGTTTTTATTAAACACAGCTGACGTAATGAAAGAACAAGGGAAAAGAAACTAATGTTCATGATAGATGGTGCTAGTGCGCATGCAAAATGCGCTTGACGAATTGAAGAATTTTCTTCTAAGTATTATGTCTGTTTGTCTGTGGTAATAGTTTGTTGATACCAGAACAATCATGATATCGGAAGGTTGTTCTTGTGAAACCGCGTTGAATTTGGTATTAGCAAAGTGGAAAAATAACTTAGAGTGTAAAGATACGATTTTTGCTGTTATTTTTTTGGATCTTAAACGCACTTTTGAAACAATTGCTAGGCACTTATTGTTACGATCAATCAAGCGCTTTGGAATAACGAGTACTGCATATAAATGGTTTGAAAGCTATTTGTCTGACAGAACTCAACGGAGTGTTTTTAATGATTATGTTTCCGGTTCCATGGAGAATAACCTTGGAGTGCCCCAGGAAAGTGTATTAGGGCCCCTGTTATTTATTATGTATATTAATGACTTGCGACGTGTTTTACGATTTTGCGACATTAATCTTTTTGCAGATGATGCTGTGTTATTCATTGCAGCTAAGGATTTAGATGATGCCGTTTTACACTTGAATGAAGATTTTCGTTCTGTTAATAGATGGTTAAATTAGAAACAGTTGAAATTGAATAAAAATAAAACTAAATTTATGGTAATTTCGCGGAATCGAGTATATGAGAACGTCTCTGTTGTAATTGATTTGATGACAACCTTAAGTTCAACTGTCAAATTGATAATGTCATCAAGAAAATTTTCAAGAGGTAGATTTAACTATTGCCAATAAAATACAGCTATCCAAATCAATCATCTCAATCATCAATCATCTAGACTTTTGCCCTTCCATTTTATTTCAGGCCAATGAAACACAAATTTCAAGATTATAGCGCTTGCAGAATAATTTAATGCGTTTGATTTAGATTCACTTCCTCAACTTTGATGCTAGATGCCTTACAATGGCTGTCGGTGAAGCAAAGAATTGTATATTTGACTCAAATATATAAAACTAAAAACGCGCATGAAATAAGAACACCAAACTTCTTGACTTGTGCTTCACAGAATTTATTATTTTTTAAAGGAATAAATGTTTTCAATTCGATGCCTAGACAAATTAAACTTGCAACAAAATTAGCAGAATTTAAGAGACATTGCATTTCACACCTTAAAACTGTCTTTTGAACGGTTAACCAGTGATTTTTTTATGAATTTACAAATTATGTTTCTTGTCGAAGTTATTTTTAACGGATTATTTTGTATGGATAGCTGCTATAAAGACTTTTTAATAATTATTGTAGCCCTGCAAAAACTATTTTGTTCGCCACGATGGTGATGATGGATTTTTAATATTTGATTTAATATATTTTTTTTTTGGGTGGTCTACAAAGGTTTGAACCTCGAGCGCGTATTACGGATAAAGAGGACTGAATTTAACATTTGATAAAAAAAAAAATACAATTTTGAAGCTTATTTGGAAGATACCTTGAGTTAGTAGTAAGTTTTCTGGCAAATGTTGGGAGTTCGTGAGCATTCCTGCCATTGCTGAAAATTATGATAGCATCAGATTGCGGGATTTCTAGTGTAATAGGATGATTTGTTGATTTTTCATTATTCATTGATCGCTTGTAATACTTATGAATATTTTAGGTGGACGAAAAGGACAAAAATATGTTTTGACTTTTTTCTCAGCTTAATCTATATTTTTTTTTCTCGAAATACCCTTGGAATTATCCTCGGAATTCCTTCTCAGAATTTCATTGAAATTGTGCCCTCAAAATTCGATTCCCTTGGTAATGTTCTCAGAATTCCATTGGAACTCTCTACAGAATTCACTTGAAATAATTTTTAGAATTGCTTTGGAATTTTCCATAAATATAATTTGAAGCTTTTCTCAGAATCGAATAGCCTCGGAATTTTCTTGGAATGATCATCAGATCTAACTCAAAATTCTTTTCAAAATTTATTTGGAATATTCATTTTCACCAAAATTAGCGAAATCAATCTCCAGAAATAAAATGATCAAATAAAGGATGCAAACGCCAACAGTAGTGTGAGTGCGTTTCTTTGAAGCATGGTTTAATTGTGCTGCCACAAAGATTACGACTGGAACTGATTTCTTGTCCTTCAAATGTTCAAGAAACGGAGGCGGTATTATAAAACTCCTGGATCTCCATCAAAACCCTATTAAATTCGTTACGCCGCTCCAGTTTTGCGTGTCGCCTGACAACCAACCAGCAAGTCATTTCTCTTTAAAAAAATAACAGTCGTAATTAAGTCATTCCCAGCTGACTGTCTGCATGGCAACGAATTGCTCGAGTACTCGTTTTACTTCTTTCCCTCATTCGAATTTTCCATCCCAATTTGTCGTCGTCGTCGTCGTCGTCGTCGTGGACACTTACCTGTGTGTCTCGATGCACGCTGTACGTTGACCAGCAGCACGGTTCCACCTGGTTCGAGTCAAGGCCCCAAAACTCCAGCTCCTCCTCAAACAGTGGCCCGCAGACATCGGTCGGGTAGTGCAGTTTGCCGGTTCTGAGAGAACAAAACGGGCAAGATAAATGAGGCGGAAAGTGTAATGCATTTGATGGGGGATTCATTTTGAGCTGAGAGAATTATTCATGTGTCCTAGCTGTGTGTACATTGTGTAAAATTATGCTGCTGCCGTGGGTAACTCACCGATAGTAATTCAGCACCTGAGCGAAAACTCCCGGATGTCGATCGAAAAAGTACTCGTTCAGAACGGGATCGTAATTGGCCAGCGCCTCGGTCAGACGTGAGAGTCGGGTAGCAGGAATCTTCTTCAGCGTTGCCTTGTACGTTTCATATCTGCATATGATTCCATCGTGGGGCCATCGTCACCCAAGTTTACATATAGTTGACATACGGTGTGGGTGGTGTCATCGTCATAGCGTAGCGTAGAGATCAACAGAAAGAGATGGAAAATGGAGAAAGAGAAAACCAAACAACTTTTAATAACATGACTGACATATGGAACAACAAACAGAGGGACAGAGGATTGGGGGGGTGGAATTTGAACGACAACAGAGTAAACATCATCAAGGATTCATGTACTTTAAACAAATCCGGTGCTCTCATCTTTACACACACCCCATGCACTGAGTTCCATTATCGTAAGCTGGTCTTCCGAAGTTTATGAAAACTTGTTTTTTTTTTTTGTTTTGTTAGAAGTCGAGTGTGGAGAGGACTTATGGGTTTATCACTGTCCTGCTGGTGAGGAGAGCAAGTTCGCTTCAGTAAATATTCTTGCTTATCAGGGAAACCACTGTAGGAGTCAAGGTTGCAAAGACTCATTTCAGCTAAAATAATGTTTTTCGGAATAATAAAACCAAAAGATGGTATGATGGCATGTTTTACTTGTAACTTACAAGAAGTGGTTACAAAGTATGCGTTGGAAACATAAAACCTGTAAATTTTGCTTTCTATGCGTCACAATCAGCGATTTGCTGATCGCTGAGTGAGTGAGTGAGTGAGTGAGTGAGTTTGTGAAAAATCGATGATTGTGACTCTCATGAAGTGAAATAAACAGGTTTAATATGTCAAACACATTCTTTGCAACCTCTTCTTGTATCCTACCAATTCTAAATTTGATCATGGCATCTAATTATTTCATAATTTAGAAAAACATTGTTTTAGCTGAAATGAGTCTTTGCAACCTTGGTAGGAGTCAGGATCAGGATGAGGATGAACAAAGATAGCATTTCAACTACTGAATGTCGGTGTTCATGACAGACTGACGTCAGAAATTGCTCTATATTTTAAAGAGACACCAGAGTAGAAGAAAAATTGTTTTAATTTCACTGTCAACAATAAAAAGTATGATGTATAAATTAGGGAATACAACTAGATAGGTGCCTCTATGGTATCCTGTGTTGCGAACATTTGCATTACCCAGTACCAAGCTTACTCGAGTAATACACACCAGGCAACCAGAAGTCGTATAACAATGTACCAATGTAACAATATAACCATGAACGTTGAGATTACGGGGCCCGTGTTTTGAACACTCATCAGTCAGTGCTTGGGAAATGGAAAAGGCTAAAGGCGTATAATAACTACCTTGTGTAAGACGTTAACCATTTTTAAGTCACGCTTATGGAATTCACAAGTGTCGTTCGCTTATGGAATTCATAATTCGTATGTTTATTTAACTTAGTACGACAATGGACAACAATCCTGTTGTCACGGTCAGTTTGGCAACAATGCAAGAAAGATTGAAATGCAAGAAATCAATATAGGGTATATTGATAGTTGAATATGTGCCAGACAATGACAATAATTTCATAACAAGAACCAAGCGTTTGTTGGTCATTTTTGTCAATTTATTTATCGTTTGAAAAGCTTGAACCAAAGTCAGAGCGATGTAAATTAAATTGAGAAATTGCCCATAGTAATTCGCCAAAATCAAACCATTTGCGCTACCTCTGAACCTTCATCAATTTGTACCAGTTTTTGCACAGACTAACTTTGCGAAGGTCATGGATAGGTAAATGGGAAATGAACTGTTGCTAGCAATGCATCATTTATTGCTCGGCCAAGAGGGTTATGTAACGCTGTTTTAAGTTGTGACAATGAAAGAGGATATTTTACTTTAGGGATTGCAAATTGTTTCCACATGTTAAATAGTATGCTACAGCCATCAATTGACGTTTGACTGGTTTTGATTAGTTTTGAGCTGTGAGTGAAAATGCATGAAAATTTCAACCATTACATTTGTTTGCAGAATAAAGTCTGGTCCACTAAGAATCCGGAAACTTTATATCTTCTATAACACTGCCTCTAGTGAATGGATTTCGAATGTTTTGGCAGCGATTTTTTTGTTTGAAAGTACACGTGTATCAGTGGTGAAAGTTTTGTCTCGATACGTGCATTATTAAAAAAGATGTACTAAATAGTAGACGAGAGAAGAATATTGATCTTGAACACCCACGTCTTAAACCCAACGTAGTAGATTCGAAGTATCGCGAAAAAGTTGAAAATTTCCGTTTCTACCGTGCGAGATGTTCTCAAGCGGTTCCGTGATTGCAAGAGTGTAGCCCGAAAGGTTCAAAGCAAACATCCAACTGGTACTTTGGATCAGCAGCTGACCTGTCTGGTGTTGAGGTCGATTAAGAGAAACCCAGAGCTCTCGAATCGGGATGTCGCCAAAAAATACAGTGCCAGCCGTAGTATTGTCCGTAAGACTCCAAGCAACCGAACAGGACGATGAAGCAGAATCTAGTGACCAGAACACGCACCCGGAAGTTGTACGGCCGGGTTCTGATGAAGTACAGGGGATGGCTTCTCATTGACGACGAAACCTGTGTCAATATGGATTTCAGGCAAGTTCCCAGACAAAAGTTGTATCTGGCCATAGCACTGGGTGATGTCCCCAGAAAAATCATGTTTATTTTCGCCGATAAATTCTCCTAGAAACTGATGATCTGACAAGGAATTTGCAGCTGCAGACTCAAAACCAAGCTTATCATCACCAACAAAACGGTGAGCAGGATCAATTTTCTCTTCTCGTCTTCCATCTAAAACAAATTTTTTTAATACTGAACATATCAAGACGAAACTATCACCACCGAAATACGAGTACTTTCAAAACAAATCGCTCTCAAAACATTTCAAATTCGACCACTAGAGGCGCTGCTATAAAATAAATATAGTGGACCACACTTTAGCACGCGAGTTTTTTTCGCTCAGGAGTGCGGAGTCCAATGCGTTTGTTACCAAACAAACTAGAACTATGAGTGAACTTGGTAAAAAATTTGCATTGTGACATCCGACTGAGCTTTAGGGAAAGTTCATCGGTCTGAAAAAAATTACGTTTTGATTTCTATAAAAAATATTGGAAAAAGATATTAAAAATTCAAAAAACAAAATCAAATTTTTTTCTACTTTTTAAAAAATATTTGGAAAAAATATTTAAAAATTTCACGTAAAAATATTTTTTCTCTCTCATCATTAAAAAAATAACTCTCAGCAAAACCGAGAAGTCGATGAAAAATCAATTTTTATGTCATGATGACAACCAAATATTTTTTTTTGTGTACTAGTATTTACTTAAGAAAATTAGAAAAAAAGGTTTTTTTTTAGATTTTTGATATCTTTTTCAAATATTTTAAGAAAAATCGAAACGTAATTATTTTTTTCGGAGCGGTAAACTTCCCATTAACATCAGGCTCATAACATAATTTGTTAAATTTTCCTTTGCAACCATAGCGGGATCCGTCCAGCAAACAGATGGTAAACAGTTTCATTCATAATTCGAATCTTTGACAAAAGCTTGAAAGACAATATTTCAAGAGATAAAAAGTCGAAGCACAACAGATCGAAGGACAAAAAGCTCCAATGATGTTTAATGGGACAATGCTTAATGGGACAAACTATCTAAATGAAAAAAGGTTGAATGGACAAAAGGTTGCAAAAGCGTTACGGTTAAAATATGAAAAAGGTCGAATGAACAAAGGACGAAAAGGGCAAAAGGTCGAAAGACTTAAAGTCTAAGTAACTTAAAACTCAACCTTTTGCCCTATGTGGCATTTTGACCATTCGACATTTGGTATTTTAGAATTTCATTAGACATTTAATTGATTCAACTTTTTGTTCACTTAACAAATTGTCCACTCAATCTTTTGTCCATTTCGACATATTGTCTCCCTAACTTTCATTCGACAGTGTGACCATTTCAACCTTTATTCTATTTAATCTTTCATTTAGAAAATATAACTTTTCCTTATTTAATATATTCTAATTTGATTCGACCTTTTATCCATTTGATATTTCGTTCCTTTCGACCATTTGTCTTTTTCGACCTTAAGTCTTTTTCGGTATTTATCATCTTTATTTTTTTAGATCGTTTCTCAATTATTTATAAAGGTAAAAAGGCAAATGGTGATAAGGTCAAATGATAATTAGGAAGGCTAATTATCATTCGACTTTTAAATTATTTGACTTTTGTCTTTTGACCTTTTGTGTGCTTCTTTCTCATCTTTTCCGCATTTCAAGCTTATTACTTATCGCATATTAGCTTATTGCGTGCTCTCAACTTAGTGCTCTAGATGCACTTCCAAAGTCATTCATAGAGAGCTTTCGATGCCTGTACCATTTTTGCATTACTCTACATTTTCGAAACTCTAAAATGAACTCGAGTTTTGTTTCTCTCATACAACGTGTTCAAAGCTTCATTTCTATAACGCCTAGCTTGACTCTCAGCAAGCAATGAAAATGAAAAAGAAGCATGTTTAGAAGGAAAGGCTGGCTGTGAATCTTCTCGTCGTTGCTTTGCTCATTGTTTTCAATGTAAGTAATGTCGATTTTCTAGTTAAACGAAACCCCATTCACCGTTCTTTCAATTTGTTTAATATGCTTTATGTTCCGTTTTCGTTATTTTTTATATAAGATTAATATGTGGATGGAAGAAAAATTTAACATATTACGTCTAATCTTCAAGTGTTTTCAAGTGAGAAATGCTTTATATATGTATTTTCATTTTCCGTCATATACGTCATGAAACCTCTGGTGATGTGTTTCATGAAAGATGAAACTATCAAAGTCGAGCGCTCTTTCGCTCGCCTGTTTCACCGAAGCTTGAAAGAAAGACCAATGTAGCGGTGGGAGAAAAAGAGACTAGCGGTTGAACATTTGTTTGTGCATGCCAAATGAGGTTCTAGAATGCTGCGAAGCTGTTCGACTTTAACAGAAAAAGAAAGCCAGCGCATCGATTTATTCGACTGAAGCTGATACTGTGACGCCCTGATCACAACTCTATGCCCAGGGAAGTCGAAAAAAAATTCCAACCCGACGAATTCCTAGACCGGACCGGGAATGGAACCCAGCCACCTCCAGCATGGTCTAGCTTTGTAGTTGCGCCAGTACCGACTGAGCTTAGCGAGGCACCCTTTTATCTTACAATCCTTATATATAGTCAAGCTGTGAATCTGTAAAAAAAATCCTCAGGGTTCTCTTAGAAGTTTTCTCAGAATTCCTTAGCATTTAACCTCGGTAAATCTAATGAATTTGCGACAAAGACTCCTTTTCATAGTTTTTCATGGTTTCCATGGAATTTTATTTACTCATAACTACCTTGCTATTCTCCTTAGGTTCCACATGGAATCTTCAGATCCTCAGAACTACCTTGAAAGCAGATATCACTTGATGTTTTTCTCACGTTCTTCCAGTTACTCCATTGGGATGAGTTCCTTAGAATGTTCCATGAGCCTTGTTAGTAAATTTGTATAGATCAGATCGATTCGTTGTGAAAAATATAGTGAAATTTTTGAAAAAATGTAATTCAAATCCAGTCGGCGCCGTCGAGATTTTCGGAGGTGTAAAATCTATGACCACACCTTTGGAAGGGAAGTAAAGCCGTTGTTCCTCGGTCCCGGAGTTGATGGGTCGATAAGTAGGGTCCAGATGTGGGAGCTGGATTGGCGTTTGTAGCATTGGCACATACACATCGAGAAAAAAAATTATGGAATTACAGCGTTCGCTGTTTGTTAGTTTTTGATTGCACACTGATAAAGGACTAGCTCAAATGAGTTTAATTTTATCTGTCATAATTCAGCAACATCAAAATGTAGTTGTATAGTGTGATGTACTTTGAAGTATTTTGAACCAGTTTAATGCATTTTAATTGGCGATTTTTCATTCCGGTTACAGTAAATAAACATTATTCAGCAGGCACCTGAAAATTGGTCTGGAATGGGATAGGAACTGAATTCGAAAATTTGAAAATTTAATTTAATTAAGGATATTGTCGCCTGATTTCAAAGCTTTGAATTGAATGTTTGTTTATTTTTGAATAAAATTTATTAATCATTAATTTGGTAATTATTATAAAGACGAGCAGAAAACAACAATCTCGTAGTCCTATACCAATAATACGGTCATGCTTGGGACACAACCCTTAATTTTTTCTAGATTTCTCGATTTTTTCCTGTAAATAAATTACGTTTTCTCACAACTTAATCTCAGACGCCATTTTGATTGGAAGTGACGCTTTCGAGTTATGGTTTGTTGCAAAATTCGCAATTTGTAGATTTTTGGGCGATTCAAAATGGTCGAATTTCAGTTCAATTATGCAAAGCTGCATGCAAATCAGGTTAGCAATTTTATTTATTTTTTTAATTGGCTTGGAAATGCTCAATATGTTAAATGTTTCTATGACTGGTATGCAGTGTTCGGAAAAACTCAAAAACTCATATCTCACGCATTAGTTTATGCGCCTTTGAATTTTGTCTTTTGCAACAACGTCGCAAAAATCACCGATGAGTTTTCAGGTTCAAAAATTCATTTCTTTATATTTTGGCGTTATTATTGTTATTACTATTGTTTGTGCATCAGGGGTTGGAAATCGAACACAACATGCATAGGTATGATATCAATTGACGTTTGAGTGGTTTTTATGAGTTTAAAGGTGGAATGATTTTTCTGCGTTGTGAGTGTGAGTGCGTGAATATGCATGAGAATCTCAAGCGTGAATTTTGTTTGTCGCATTCGCACGCGAGTTTATTCTCGCAGGGAGGCTCAATGAATGAGATTTGAGATTGATTTTCCGAACACTGCTGGTATGATTGCAATGTATGATTATAAACTGTTATGAAAATTATGATACAGCCTCATCGAAGCATTGTCACCCATTGTGAGTGAATGAAAGTGAAAATATTCGAGATTTCTCATCACTAATGCTTATTTAGACGGCTCCAGTTCTGAAAATTACCTAGGATTAGGAGGATATAAATGCTTTGAAAAAAAAAAAATCAAGACGTGAATATTCATCGAGAAATAATCAAATACTCCTTGAATCATACATTTTGACTTTGACAGTCTGAAAGGTATTCTGGTAGGACTCAAGTGAAAAGCTCTTACGAAGTATACTGCCGCTCTTCGCATGTCGGCCCCATAGTAGTTTTGGTCAAAACTGAGTTTTTCAATGCAAATGGTAGCTAACCACCCATATTTGCATAATACTGGATGAACTCAATAACTTTGTTCTGAAAAGGTTTGAAAAGACAGCCAAATTGGTTATCTCATCACATAAGAAGCAATAGTACGAATCAAGCTTAAAATCCGATTTTCTCGGCTTGCTGGTTTTCGCCATGCGAAGAGCGGCAGTATAGGGAACATACAAATGAAGCTGTCCTCTCTATGATCAACAGGAAATCAATAACCTTCAATTCCATCTGGTAGAGTAAGCGTACGCATAATGCCCAAACTCCTTTCAACAGACTTGCATTGAGTCTAACACATATCCCCTCTGGTTGATAATAGACGTCTTCATCATAATGTTATGTACGTCTGAAACCTGTTTGACACCGTCTATATTACGGATTGTTTGTATTTAATTTGATATGCAATCCCACCTCATCCTTCTCGGATACAAGCAGGTTAGTGTCGTGCGTGCGAGCGTGCGTGCGTGCGTGCTTGAATGTGTTAGGGTTACCTGAAACTTATACGCACATGCATGCCGACCGACACATCTGCGGATGAAAGCAATTAAACGATGGGGTACACGTCTTAGGGAAAGCTACCCAAAACTTGGCAAGTAATTATATTGGATGTGACATGTCTCCCAGAGGGTTTGGCAAGTTTGCCAAACCATGACGACAACTACCGAACGTTGGTAATTGGATAAAAGTTTGGGGACAGGTGAAAGTTAAATGTATGCTAAACTTTAATGTGCTTTCACTTCAACTTACACACTGACTGGTAGAATAATATCATCAGCTTTTTACCTCCCCGGACAGCCTGGGGCCTGACTAGTAATTAAATAAAGATCGTTCATCTCATCTAATTGCACATTTCAGCACCATTGCATCGCAACAGATATAAATTAATTATGCCATCTTAAAACTACCAGAGGGGTGAAAAGATGTATCGATAATTTGCGTACAGCCATCTCAAGCAGCTGTGGACAAACCATGTTCTACAGGTACTCTTCATTGGCAAACAGACAAGGACCTATAGCACTTGTATTAATTATACTGACATCAATCTAGGGAATGGATCTTACTTTTTGCAGTCCTTATGGAAGACGCCTTTGCAACCGAAGAGTCCTCTTAGCAAGACCATCATCGTCTACAAAAAGCACATCTCGATGAAGACATTGAGAAGGTAATTAGGAGCAATTAGTACGCTCTGATAAGTACAGCAGTGCTGGTGTTGCAATGGGGCCATCTAGAAGCTAACGACTCGCTTGGAAAGTATCGCAATTGCACATCTCGACAAGTAACGCAACGCAACGAGAATGGGACGATTTTGTCCTCTTCATGTTCAACTGCGTTGCAAAGTGCAACAGAACAGGATGATGATGTAATTGAACTCGGAAGGGCTTTTACGTGACTGCGAAGGGACAGAAGTTGGACTCAATCTTAGCACTGCCGGGCTGACTACGTGGACCTGCATTGTTGAATAATTTAAGCTTTCCTTCTTCAGCTACGAACGGAAAAGTGGATGTCTTTAATTTTGCTAGGATGCAGTTATTTTTCTCAAATAAAATACATCTCTCGTTTCGCATTTTAAAGCGATGCAAAGCCTCAATAACAAACAACTACCAATGAACTTTTCCAGCTTATTACAAATCTCTCAAAAGTTTTCCTTATCCCGTTATTCATCATCGTGATATCTCCATATCAGTCCATTTGCTCTTCCCCATTCGGTGGCATAGGCCAAATGAAAAATCTGCGTCATCCTCCTGATCATGCCCTTCTATTAAAGTTCTCCGGTGATAAAGCACATCATCCTCATCCTTACTCTGCCACCGAGCCAAATGCCTATCATAAAGCAGGTCATATTTCAAATCCTGCAGGAGCGTAACACTGGAAAAACCGAGCAGATTTTCGTACTTGTTACGACGAGAGCTTGAGTTTGGTTGTACATCTGGACCAAAAAATATCATCACCAAAGTAAACTCACTAGATGAACCAGATAAAAAAAAAGACAAATGGAGAGAACGATTCCACTCACCTGATGCCTCCCACGTTGAGAATGATACGATTTTCGCCGTCCATCGCGTGCATCTGCTGCTGCTGCTGCTGCTTGTCCTCTGCTTGGCTTGCTCAGCGTTAAATCATTTTCATAATTCATGACAGTCCATTTGTTCACTCGGTTGGAGAGTAATTTTTTCGCTCACTTTTTATGCACTCACTTGTTTCAACTTTTATTTTCCACTTTGAGCCTTGTTCTTTTATGCTAGGACCAACTGTGGTTTGTCCTTCTACTGCATTTGTAGGTTGGATCTCGTCATTTCATAGTTTTCGCTGTTTTTGCATTCATTATTCTGGAAAATTACACAAGTTCATTACGAAGGTTATTCTTCATGCCATGCACAGTTGGATTTTCCGAAACGTGTCAGGACATATGATTCTCTTGGCTGCCGAATCGTTTAACATTGAGGTTTGTTCTTATTTGGTACCAATGGTTTTCAGATGAATAAATGGATCTCATCGAATATAAATTTATAATTAGATCACAGTTTACGGCGAATTCACCTTCTTTATCTTCTTTTTGGTTTTTGACATTTCTTATGCAAACGTTTTGCTGGCCCTAAACAAAGTGTTCTTTATAGCACTTTCATAGTTTTAGACTGAGTGCATCCTTTGCCACCCAATGCATGAATTTGTATATAGCGTGGAGCGTGAAGTACAGACAATTTCCTCTAGGAAGATTTTTTCTAGAACAGACAGGGAATCGAACCCATCAAATTCAAATTTCAACACCTTGAACTACATCAACCCTATGGATCTAGAGAAGACATAAAAGAACAAGGGCATACAATATTGTATTGTTTTAATTGCGATTATTACATATAAACATTATTTTAACCATAGGATGGCGATCTTGCCCCGTCCTACCCTACGTCGCACGTTGCCTTTCTCGTACACCGAGGTGTACCGAAAGGCTATAATGTCACCTGTAAACACATTTTAGATCTGATACTAATCGACTTAGCTCGACGATATCGGAAATTAGTGCTGGAAGTATCTGGATATAAATATCCAGATAAGCGGCGCCAGTGGTATAGTGGTAAATGTGATTATCTCTCGCCCCAGCAGGCCTGGGTTCAATCCCAGTCGGCGTCGCCGGGATGTTCTGAGGCATAACATCTCTGATCACGCCTTCCTTCGGAAGGGAAGTAAAGCCGTTGGTCCCCGGTCCATGAGTTGATGGATCGATAGGTAGGGTCCAGAAATGGGAGCTGCCTCCCTGGCGTCGGTACACACTTAGAAATACCTAATTTTACACGTGACGGAATCCATCTTTGACATAAAGGATGAGACGTAAACAAACATGTCATGTAAAATTAAGTGCTCCGTAACTGAAAAGTTCGGTACTCGACGAAAAGTACGTTTGATTGAGCTGAGTTTCGCGTCTATTACGACTCAATTTTATGTCAAAATTGACGCTCGTATATGTCAGTCTCAGAGCACCTAAATTCACATCAATTTTTCTAAGTGTGTAGCATTGGTGCTCAGCACGGAAAACAAGATCGACAATCAAGAAAAAAACATATATGATATTGTGGACCTCCGTGTAACGGTTAACGTTAAAAGAAATCGTTGAGTTTGCTGAACTTCAATATATTAACTCCAGAATGATTTGTAGAACTAAAACAAAAAAAATATACGTCGGCCCAACTTTGTGTCTCATAGAATGTTACTGAATTGCATTAAGTTCAATAGGTTTGAAAATACGATCGTTACATCGAACAAAGCTTCAAGATTTCAAGGAGCCGGTGTTTTAGTGGTAAGCGAGACTGCCTCTTACTCCAAAGGGCCTGGGTTCAATCCCAGTCAGCACCGTGGGGATTGTCTTAGGCATAAAATCTCTGATCACGCCTTCCTTCGGAAGGGAAGTAAAGCCATCAGTCAGAGGAGCGGAGCGTAGTTCGTGAGTTGATTAGTCGATAGGTAGGGATCAGGTGTGAAAGCTGCGTCCCTCGTACATTTGTACTCAGTAGATGATTTTAAAAGCCTTTATTATTGTGTTTCTCGTACTCAGTTATATGGAATTGGATTAATGTTCCTAATTTTTGTCTAAATGTTCCTAATATTGGACCAATTCATTCGTTTTGAAGGAAATCGTCCAGATGACGCTTTGTTCTACGAAAAATTGAAGAAAAGGGGATTTTATGGACACAATCTTTAGTTCCAAGGCCAACATTAGATCGATTTGCCTTATGTTTATTAAGCATACAAAGACAACATTTAGGCTCGTCAATTGAAAAAAAAATCTGCGATTGTATACGATCTCACAATTTAATGAGGTTTTTGGTGACCTACACACTTAATACCGATTGCCGAAGTCGGTTGAATTTTACCGGGATTTTTAACAGTCAGTCAAATCTTCAAATGACAAACAATAAAAATTTCATATATTATTTTTTATAAATAAAGAAGGAATCAAAATGACCAAAATGACAAGCGATCAGCGAACCAAATAATGACGCTGTTAGAAGTGGAAAACTATAATTATATAATCTTCTTCCTTTTTTTCATGACAAGCAGCTCGTGCGACACAGCTCACTCGGGGCGGTAGAAGGAATCGAGCAAATTTTTGGCAAGCTGCTTCACGAAGTTAAGCCAAAGATGATACACGTGTGTTAATGAGAATTTTTTGTTTTGTCTATTCTCGCATAGCTACAGAATAGGGATACCCACAGCTTATGGGATTTTCACTGTGGTGGATTATCTAATTTATTTCAATACATGAAGCTATACTGTCTTCTACAAAGTTGTTGTACTGGGATCAGGGTTCTGTATTTTCGAAACAGAGAAAAGAAAATGAACTCTTCGAAGAATCGCTTCATTTCGAGCAACATCATGTTCGTGTAAGTCATCGTGTTTCTTGCTATCGAGTCACGATGATTATTCCTCTTTTCAAACATGACTGAACTATCGCTTGTTTCGTTCGTCAAGTGCTTCAGTTCATTTCATTTGAAGCAAAGACTTGTTTCAATTGATGCAATGAACGACTCGAAAACTGCTTCCTTCTTTTTTTCCACTTTCACTTCAATTCGGGTCTCATTCGATTTTGACGACGCAGGTATCAACATATAATCATGGAACACCCTTCCATGTGAAACCGCGGAATCATCAATTCAACATGCCGCGTGGCGATAGGCAAACACCACGCGACAATCGGATAGCAACAGCATCGAGCAAGGTTCATCGAGCAACAGGACGTCAGCTGGAATTAATGCATGATCAGCATAAGTAGGGCATAAGTAGGGCATAAGTATGACCAGTAGGAAAAAATGCAAACAGTTGATAGTTAGAATTTTAAGTGAACAGTTCAGTTTTGATTTAACTTTAGTGATTTGATGTAACAAATTGTGAAATAAATATTTTTTTATACCATTCGCAACGCGACTGTTATAATTATATAGTATCCGGATAGTATCCGAACAATATCGTTTGCCGATAAGGATGGTATCCGGATTATATGTAGTAATAAAAATTATTTAATATTAAACGAAAATAAAATTAACTAGGCATATTCTCCCACAGGTGTCGAACAAACCATGGTTCAAAGGGTTGGACATGAGCCGCGACTTTATACGCGTTATATCAAGGCTTATGTCCAAGCACTGCTCGTTAGACTCGCACTTCTATCGAATTGGGCTCTCAGGCAGCAATTTATGTGCGTGTGGCAGTGGTTATCACGATATCGAGCATGTTGTTTGGTCGTGTACCTTACACCGTGTTGCCAGATCTGAGTTATCCACATCCCTCAGGGCCCGAGGAAAACAACCCGCGATACCCGTTAGAGATATCTTGGCGAGCCGAGATTTTGACTATTTGAATTTAATTTATGTGTTTTTAAAACGGATAGATTTGAGGATTTAGAAGTTAGTGTCATCTTGTGTTCTCCCAAGTTGTTAGCTACCCATCGGTGTACCCCCATGTTTGTCTTTTTCATCAGAGTGTCGCCTAGTTCGAGATCAAGAGCACGTTGCTCTCCAAGCCTTGTGTTCACAATCCCTACCCTGCCATCCATTTGTTACAATTTGTTACCCCTAACCTCGAGATAGCCGCGAGTAATCGGCCCCCGCTTTACTAACGTTAGTTTTAAGTAATTCTGTTATCTAAACAATGAATATCGGCTCCGCAAAGCTACAGCAAATGAGCCTGGAAAAATAAACGAATTATTAAAAAAAAAAAAATTATCTAGGCCATTCGGAGTCCAAGATGGCAACCATCGTGTCAGGGAAAGTGTTAAATACCCTACAATAGGGTATTTTCGGAACGGGGACGGCGGGTAGATGCTGAAAGTCGATACACGACGGCATTTTGGGATTCAAGATAGTAGCAATTGGTTTTATGAAGTGTCAAATACCCTAAGATATGGAGAACGAGAACAACGCGTAGATGCCAAAAATCGATATCCGACGCTATGTTGGAATCCAATACGGCGGCCACAGGGCGTCAGAAAAAGTGTCAAATACCCTATAATATGGTTATTTTCGGAACACGGACAACGCGTAGATGCCGAAAATCGATATCCGATGCCATTTTGGAATGCATTATGGCGGCCATCGGGTTTCACAAAAAGTGTCAAATACCCTAAGATCTGAGAACGGGCCATCCCATCAATAGGCGTAGATGCTGAAAAACGATATTCGATGCCATTTGCAGACTATTTGATCCTTCTTCTGAAATCTGAAGCCAGCATCTTGAATTTCAAGATGGCGTCGGACATCGATTTCTGGCTTCAAGATGTCACCCCGATTGCTAAAAACCCACATTGATCGGTATTTGGCAGTATTTCACAGTTTGTTCTAGCTAAAGCCGCCATCTTGGATTTAAAGACGGCGTGACACCAATTTTCGGCATCTATGATCCCTATTCTGAAAATAACCATATATTAGGTTATTTGACACTTTTCTTGGATTACAAAATTATGTTGGATATTGATTTCCAATCTCCAGACGTCACCCCGATTCCAAAAATACCCGTATTGATGGGACGGCATCAGCATTTCCCATTTTTTTTCTGAAATAGGAAGCCGGCATATTGAATTTCAAAATGGCGTCGGATATCGATTTCCGGCCTCTAGACGACATCCCGATTCCAATACCTATATTGATGGGTATTTGAAAATATTTCCCACTTGTTCTGAAATTGGAAGCCGCCATCTTGGATTTTGAAATGGCGTCGCATATCAATTATCGATCGGTAGACTTCATACCGACTACAAAAATACCAATATTGATGTGTATTTGACTGTATTTCCACTTTTTCGTAAATCGGAAGCTGTCATCTTCGGTTTCGAAATGGC